GCTGTGTGACCCTGGGCAGGTCACTCAACTTCTCTGAGCCTCGGCTAGGCCTCACACAAGGACTAGATAAAAGCGCACGTGAGGCCCTCAGCGCAGACGGCAGCCTTCGGCGGCTGTCTCGGAGGGTGTCGACTCGTGCCGCTTGCCGGGCCCCCTCTCCTCACCTCGGCGCCGGCCACGCGCCTGTCCTGTCTCCCGCGCAGATGGAGTCCGCCTGCGTGACCATCCGAGAAGCCCTGAAGACGGTGATCGACTCCCAGACACACTACCGGCTGCGGGAGGCGCAGGACCGGGCCCGGGCGGAAGACCTCAACAGCCGGGTCTCCTACTGGTCCGTGGGCGAGACGGTCGTGCTGTTCCTGGCCAGCCTCGGCCAGGTGCTGCTGCTGAAAAGCTTCTTCACGGAGAAGCGGCCCGGCAGCCGGGCCGTGCACTCCTAGCCCGGCGCCCACCCAGGCCCCGCACGCCCCGGGCGGCGGCTCTCCTGGGTGAAGGGCTGGGGGCCGGGAGCTGGGAGAGGGGCGAAGGGTCCTGCCCTCCGTGTGGACGCCGGGTCATGGCAGCCGAAGGTCGCAGAGCCCGGTCGTTTGGACGGCGTTACGTGTGCGTGCGACACTGAGACGTGTTCATGGCTGGCAGGGGGGTGGCCGCTGCGGGAGGGGGGCAGGCAGGGAGCTGGCGGCCTGGTTGGCAGGAGGGCGCTTGAGGGCCCAGGCCCCCAGGGCAGCTCCGGGACCGGCCTCTGCTCCCCGACGCCTGGGCCGCTGGGCTCGTGCATCCCGGCCGGTGTGCGGGGCTCTCCATTCTAGCCTGTCCTGCCGGAGGGGCTCCGTGTACCTGGGGAAGCCAGACCTCCCAACGTGGCTTTGCAGGTCTCCCCGCCCCAGGTGAGCGGCGGTGTCAGCAGTGCACACAGGGCCAGGGCCGTGACGGGCACCTTCGTTAGCTGTGGGTTTCCCGGGTGGCAAATAAAAACTAGGTTCACGTGAGCACCCCGCAGACTTCTGCCTGCCTTCTTTGCCCCGAGGGAGCTCCCTTGTGCACGGCTGTGTGCATGTGAATGATTAGCGCGACAGAGCGAGCCCAGGGAGGCGCGTGTGCGTGCCGTGTGCAGAGCCGTGCCCAGGCGCGGGGAACGGGTCTCCTCCCGGGTGGGGAGAGCGGTGAGGCAGGGAGCCTCTGTGCCCCGCCCAGGCCCTGTGGAGGTCTGTGTGAAGGCTGGCTCCTCCGTGAGAACACACCCCCCCCACACCTGCACCACCTGCCCCGCCACCTCCCTCTGACCAGGTGTCATGCCAGGTAAGTGTGTCCGGCCACTGTGTTCAGGACGGCACCGTCTCACCTGCCCCCCGGGAGCGGTCTTGGCTGGTTGGGAGCACCTAGTGCGCGCTGATCCAGCGTACGCGCAGTAGGGCTGGGGGTTGGCGGGTGTGTCTGCCTTGAGGGGGGGGCCTGCCGGGAGACCTGGAGTCCCGAGCTGGCCGGCAGGGGCTAACGGCGCGTTGCAGGACAGGGGGTAAAACAGTCCCGGTATAAAGATCCCCCGCAAGCCTCACTTGGCTTGATCAACCACTGCGGTCCGGCGCCCGCCGGCCGCGACACCTCGCCCACAGCCGGCACCCACGGTCCGCACGGCGGTCTGCGCTGTGCGTTGACGACGCGTCCGTTCTGCTCTCGTGTGACGAGGAAAGCTTGAGAGCCCTGGAAGCTTGTTCTACTTTACAGGCAGCTTTGCTTGTCATGTCAGTCAGAACAGGTGACATAGACATGTATGTTTTCATGATGTTATTTTTAAATGTTCACAATTTTATTTTGACAAATGAAAAACTAGAAAAGTCATATCACGACTGCCGGCTACAGTCGACGCTCGGCTGTGCGCGTTCCTATCACGGCTGTCAGCTACAGTCGACACTCGGCTGTGCGCGTTCCTATCACGGCTGTCGGCTACAGTTGCCGTGCGCGTTCGTCTGTGGCTGTCGGCTACAGTCGACGCTGGTACCGAAGTGGTTAAAGGGTAAATGCTGCTTCCCTTCGATGGTTTTTTTTTTTTTATTTCAGCATATTATGGGGGTACAGATTTTAAGGTTTCAAATAATACCCTTTCACTGCCTCCCCCACCAAGTCTGAGTCTCCAGCATGACATCCACTCACTCGTAACTCGTATATGTTAATACCGCCCCTCCTCCCCCCCTCCCAATACCCTATTACTGTAGTACCCTATGTGTCACTTAGGTGCTGCTCAGTTAATACCAGTTTGCTGGTGAGTACATGTGTGCTTGTTTTTCCATTCTTGGGATTCATAGGTTTGTGATGGTGTTTTTCATCTCATTTTAAAATTAAGTGCTGAGTATGTATAAAAGACGACTCATGAAATATGTGTATAGCGTAGAGTGAAAAGCTACACACGTGCCCCTGTGCCCGCCACTGGATTAAGCAGCAGAACGTGACCGGCTCTTCCTGGCGCTCCCTCACTGCCTCGCACCAGCTCTGTCCTCCCCAGCCTCCCAGGGCACAACCAAGCCATTCATTGTGTGTCGACACTGAGACGGGTTCGAGAGTGGAGGGACATGGCTTTACTAAACCCATGTCGCCCCCACTTTCTTGCAGACGAGTTTCTTCCAGCCTTAAAAAAAAAAAAAAAAGAGGTCGATAGGACCTAGTTTAATTTTATACTAACGTGGTATCGTTCCTGCTATCAAAATATGCAGACTCATCGGGAGGACAGAGACCTTGCCCCAACTCTTAACATTAGCAGCTTTGAGTGAAGAGTGATGATACACAGTTTTTAAAGACTTTTTGTTAAGAGAATCACCCAGCACTCAACATAAGATTTCAAAAGGCTGGGCAGTGGTCACGCCTGCTAATCCACAGCACTCTGGACGGGTGGGCGGACTGCTCGAAGGTCAGGATTCTAGCCAGCCTAACAGCAAGAGGAGACCCCGTCTCTAGAAAGAATTAGCTGGGCAACTAAAATATAGTATAGAAAAATTAGCCGGGGATGCGGTGGCATGCCTGTAGTACTCAGCTACTCGGGGAGGCGTGAGGCAAGGACGATCCACTCGAGCCCAGGATTTGAGGTTGCTGTGACGTAGGCTGATGCTTAACGGGGGGCACTCACTCTAGTTCTGGGCAACACAGTGAGAGTTCTGTCATCAACACAAAAAAAAAAAAAAAGGGCATCAGGGAGTATTTTCACTGGGCGGGACTTGGGGCGTATGAGTCATTGGTGAGCAGAATGAGGGTTCACTGTGTCCCTAGTAAAATCCATTTGAGTTTGAGGCCCGATGCTACAACAGGTGGAGTTTGGAGGCGCATCGACTGCCTGGCCTAGGACACTGAGAGTCCCCCCGGGAAAAAGAGGGAGAGGGCCTCTGGCTCTAAAGTCCGAGGTCCTGGGTTATTGAGAGAGATTGTGGAGTGTGTCTCGCTCGCGACCATAGATTTCAAGAAAGGAGTGGAAGCTTCGCCAGATCCCCGTAGAGGATTGTGATATGGCGTGCAAGCTGGCCCGGCTCCCAGCCGTCAAGTCGAGCCTGTGTGCCGACTGGGGTGCCTCGGGGTTGCCCGTCTAGCATCACGATGCCTGTGCGTCGTGTGAAAGAGCTTTAACGACCTCGGTCCGGAAATCCTGCTGCAGGTCCCCCTCTCCTGGATTGCACCAGCGTGGGAGAGAAATTCTCTTTGTAGGAGAGAATGTTCAAAAAAAAAAAAAAAAGATACATCCAAGGCTCATAAGAATTAAAATGGACCGTGCTAAAGATTTCCTTCACTCATTATCCGGCAAACATGCATAGAGGTCAGAGGAAATTCGTCAGAGCAGCACATCTGAGCCATGCACGCGTTGCAAATGGCTCAAAGACTCAGCCAGGCGATGAGCCAGTACCCAGGAGGAAGTGCCAGGTGCAGGAAAACATAGTCGCAGAATAGCTCAAAGACCAAGGCTTAGGAAACAAGTCCCCGGCGTCCTCAAACTACAGCCCCGGAGCCACGATGCGGCCGCTAGACATTTATCCGCCTTGCCGGGTGTTTTTGCTGCCGGCTGCTGCCTGCCTTAGCAGCCGCTCATCCTGGGCCCACAGTGTCACTCTTCCAACGGTCAGGGACAGTGAATGGCCCCCTGCTTTAAAAAGTTTTGGGACCCCTGCCTAGACTCTCATGGCTCGGAGGGTGTCGAAATGCAGATATTTTAATTAACCAATTTTTTTTTTTTCCTTTTTTTTACATTTCCCACGAAGGCTTGCTGAGCTGTCATCGACCACCGGGAGTGCATTGATTTCGATTTAATAACAGTAAAGACCAGCTGTTCTGTGTTCTGCTCAGGGTCCACAGAGGCTCATCCTGTGCTCTTTAGGCCTGGAGTGGTACGCTTTCAGCCATTGCCCATACTCGCCGTTCACTTCGTCTTTTACTGTTGCTTCTCTTAACCTGCCCGTATCTTTGTAAATAGTCGCTCCACTGTGAAAATCCTCAACTTAAATACGAAAGGAGGAGGGAGAGGAAGAAAATCAGCTTGTGAAAATCAGTTGCTGTAGGTCGAGTGATATCCTGCATTCTCCCTCCAATTGTATTGCTGAATCCTACCCTCAGGTTATGGTTACGGCAGTGGGACTTTGGGATGATAAGGTCATGAGGGGCAGAGCCCTCCTCGAATGGGGCCTAGGGCTTATAGAAGAGGCCTAAGAGAGGTCCCTGCTCCTTTGATCACGCTCGCCCAGCCCCGCAGCGCGGTCCGCACCAGGCAAGACAGCACCCTTCCCCCGCCCCCCCTCCCTCATCCTCGGCAGCCAAACCGACGTTGGGATCTCCTCCACATAAATACTTGTAATCTTGGCCATCCCAGCCTCCAGAACTGTGCAAGACTAAATTTCTAGTGTTCATAAGTCACACAGACTGTGGGCATTATGCATTATTATTATTATTTTTGCCAGAGTCTGGCTTTGTTGCCAGGCTAGAGTGAGTGCCATGGCGTCAGCCCAGCTCCAACTCAACTCCTGGGCTCAAGCGATCTCTCTCAGCCTCCCGAGTAGCTGGGACTAAGCAGCATGCGCCACCGAAATGCCTGGCTAATTTTCTATATACAGTTAGTTACCAATTAATTTCTTTCTTTATAGTAGAGACGGGGTTCGCTTCTGTGTTTCAGCGCTGTTTCAAACTACGACCCGAGCAGTCTGCCCGCACTCGGCTCCCAGAGTGCTAGTACTTTACAGGCATACCCCGTGCCGGCCTATTTTATTGTCTTTTTTTTTAAGTTTTTAGACATGGCATGATCCTATGTTACCCAGGCTGTTCACCTTCTGGGCTCCAGCTATTTCCTGTGTCAGCCTCCCTGAGTAGCTGGGATTTAAGGTGCAGCCACTGCACTGGCAGTCTGTGGTATGTCTGTGGATAGCAGCCCAACACAAGTAAGACAGTAGGAAACAAAATTAACAGACTGCAGCACATATATAATCACCGCTGGATGACACTTCTGGGAAAAGGCTAGGTGTTCTTCTAACAACGTAGACCTGAGAGCAGTACAGGTGCATTTTCTCCTAGCCCTGCTGTTTGACATGGTATGTGAAGTATGCCTAGTACCTATAGTGGCTTAGAAACAAATCTAATTTTCCTGCTCCTCCTACTCCACACGCCAAATAAAAACCTACAAACAATCCATCGTAATGGTACATCTAGAATCCCATCTGAAACTGAATAGTCAGACATTATGCTATCCTTGTGGCAACTCGGCAGTTCACCAGTTTATTTTCTCTTCTGGTTGTGGTATTGCTATACTTGTATTGAGGGATGGTTCATTTTAATCCGACTACAGCCTTTCAAGAAGTGAAAAAGCCTAAGATTATATGACGCATTAGTGACAAAGATGT